TCAGAAATGGCAAATATGCAAAACATTTTGCAAAATAGGCAAAAACATTTTTTTTTTAAAGTTACCAAAAAGGCAATTCCTTACCTGTGTCTCCGCTGCTCGCTCCCATCTGAAGATTCTCCAGTGGTCGTGAAGGATCATGAGGCGGGCACATGCGCAGTAGAGATCTTTGGGCCGGAGAAGAGGCGAGACACAGTGTAAGTCAATGCATGCAGCGTGCACGTCAGGCACCGCGAGACACAGAAGACAAAGCAGTCAGCGCTGGATCAGAGACTGGCACCAGCGCTGGAGGGACTCCTGAAAACAAGTGGAAGGAAGAAGATGATCGGATCAAGAGGCATCATTGAAGGTACGTCCTTAAAAAGGGGGGCTGTGACCTTGATGTCACTTGAAGATAATTGTAGAGATTTTATGTTGTTGGGCTTGACAATTAAAAGCTCAGAAGTTCTTTTACGGTGTGGAGAAATGATGGTTGCTGTAAATGACACAACTTTAGATAAACAGTTTCCACAAAGTGATTGGTGCCGCCCTGCATATACGGTTGGACAAATGGTTTGTTGAGCACACCCCAATCATCACTGGAATGAGCATAGAGCTGCTTGACCCACAAATTTGCAAATGTGCAGCGTGCTCTCCCTCCTCCCGTCGCAGCAATTCTAAGTTCAGCAACTGCCTTACACATTGCCACAAAGATGTATCAAGTATTTTCCATTATTGTAATTAAGGAGACAAGCAGACCTTGACAACAAACAACAAGGATAATGCTTCAAAAAAGATACCACCAGAGTCCACTCAGTTTGACCTTTTACTGACCATATTTGTGACCACAAAGGCATACAGCTATCAGGCACTGATAAAAATTACAGACATGTTACATTTAACTTCACTGTTTACATTCCAAATTGAAATGTAAAAAAAAACCAGTTCGTTTTAACATCTTAAAATGGAACGGTATAGTGAAATCTGCCTTTACAACAAGTCCTTTTTTTAACTACACAGAGAAAAGGCACTTACCTTCACATTTACATGTTTTGACAAATTTTTCCTCAAAGGACTTTGAGTTTGCTCTTCTAAGAGATTCCATTTAAATTTGTATTTCAATCTTTTCAATAGATCAGTGTTTTTACAGACCAATGTCATTTTATTTAAAAAGACCTTTTCACCGTTACTAAGAAATGTGATAGCAGCTCTTATGCTAGTATTCAGAAAAGAAACAAGTCTTTATCCAACCATTCTGTTAGATCTATTATTTAGTTTTTGGTAATTTTCTATCCAATTGCAAAACCGTTCCTATTTTATTTGTCTCCACAATCATAGCATCTTACTTTACCCTAGTTTCTATGTTGCTATGTAAATCTGATCATTCTTTTGACTTTTTTTTATAAAGTATTAGATGATACACAGTAATTGTTTCAATGGTGATCTGTGAAGATGTGGAAAACAGTGGGCACCCCCTAATCAGTTGGGTCAAGTCTAAAAGCTTGCTAACTATTATCTTATAAAATAATTGTTGAAACTTTTTTTTTTTTTTTGTTGTT